AAATCATTTTATTGGGGCCTCATACAACTCTTATCACAATCCATACTTCCAGCAATGGTATAAAGCACATTTGTACATCCGTTACCCATCCCTAGGTATTTTTCAAAAGGTTTTTAACTAGAAATTTACCCATACAAATAGTTATAGGGCTATTCAAATGATCTGTTTTATTTTGGATGAGTTTTTGTAGTTTGTGGGGTTTTTTTTAAAAGGTGAGAACATCTCAGCTAAGTTGTTGAGTTTGTGTATATAAACAAACAAACTTACTGACAGTGTGTTGTAGTGAACGTCCAGGATAGAGTAGACGTGTCCCTAGGGATTTCAAAGCGTGTCAGTCTTTACAGGAGTAGAGAGCTCATCTTTCTCCTGTGAAAGAGCTGATGGTTTGAACTGCTGGCCTTTCAGCTGACCGGGCCTCCCTTTGTATATGTAGTGTTCCTAGTATTCCCTTAACCGATTGTCTTTGAGCTACTTCCAATTCATAGCAACACTTTAGGGCAGAGTAGAACTGTCCCATGGAGCTTCCAAGGCTTCCATCTTTAGATTTACCACATCTTTCTCCTGTGCCTGAGTGCCTGGTGGATTCAAACCCCTGACCTTCCAGTTAACAGCTGAGCGCTTTAACCTTGGCACCACCAGTGCTCCTCATTTCCTCAACATCCTCCTAATGGCCAAGGCTCATCAGCACTAGCTCCTTTTTCCATTCTGATCGTAATTTGTGACTTTAGTGTCTTGCTTTCTTTCTTGTTGTTGGCCTCTGGTAGAAGTTTATCAACATGACTGATCTTTTCAAAGAATCAGATTTTTAAAAAATCTCATACACGTCCATAGTTAAATCACCTTTAAAAAGCAACATTGTATCAAAAAAAACTAAAACATTGTATCTACATCATTGCCATCAGTTCCAGTGCTTCTTCCCCCCTCCTGCATTCAGTCTGTGCCCTAATTCTCCTTCCCTCCCCCACATCCCCGACAAACCATTACATCAGGTATTCTCTTTATGCACCCACCCTTCCTGTGCTTCATAAACTGGGGAACTTAACAGAAATTACAAAAAAATATGCCAAAATGAAACAAAGAATAAAAAAATAATATAAAGATTAAAAATAAAAATAAAGAGTAAGAAAGAAAAGACCGCCAGCAGTATTCAAAAGCCAGAGAAGAAATTTGTCATGGAAGTGATGAGAAATATTGGAGCCTAGAGCAAATTCAGGTTGGGTCCAGAGGGAGGTCAAGTATCTTATTACGTAATCGTTGGACCCACCATAACCGAGCTGACAATGATCTCTGTGTGATAGTAAAGCTGTCCCAGTCCCTCGCCTGTGGCTGGAGGGGATCTGCCAGAGGCTTACTCTGACTAGACACTCTATGGATGGAGTTTGGGCTCCCACCGCCCTCTATAGCCTTCTATAAATTGCACGTCCACAATGTAAGCTGTGACACTTCTCTTCCTCCTATTTGGCTTCGGTTCATGTCATCGTCTGCTGTGGTGCTTCTTTGATGTGGCCTTAATTGATGCCCCTCCTAGCTGGCTGCTTGTTTGAACACAAGTCCTTAAGACCCCAGGCACGATTTCAATTGAGAGCCAGGCACCATGCGCTCTCTTCCCCACACATTGCTGTGGTCCTTACCATCTTCAGTGACCTCCTCGTGAAGGCCAGTGTGAGCAGGGCCACACGAAGAGCCAGCGTCTGGTTTGACTGACTGTCTCTGGGGTTTTCTCTTTTCCATGCCATTGATTTCTACTCCCAGCTTATCATTTCCTTCCATCTTCCTGCTTCGACTTATTTTCCACTTCCAGTTTTTGAGGTTGCCGTTTAGATTAGGCTTCCGTTACTTTTAAAGGGCAGTTCAGTGTTTCTAGAATGCACTTGCACTCCTTGGTTCCCTGAAGAACTCCTACTTGTCCGTCAGAACCCAGCTGGGATGTCACTTGTGAGGCAGAATAGGGTTGGGGTCACGAGCTCAAGCTCTGTAGCCAGCCCTCCTCCTCCTCTCCCATTGCATCGACCCCAAGCCTGTGCTTAGTCAAAGAATCTGAAGCAAAAGAACTGAGAGAGAGAGAGAGAGAGAGAGAGAGAGAGAGAGAGAGA